GTACAAAACTACCCGACCCGATTGACCCGACCCGCCGACCCGGATCTAAAAAAACTGGGTAATTTTCTAAAAAAAAATTACCTGGCAGGGTACCGATTTACTGGGTCGGGCCCGGGTCACAAAATCTAGTTTTTCCGAGTATCCGTTACTCAAGTACCCGGTTAGTTTTTACTTTTTTTATTATATATATATATATATATAATATAATGAATTATTTATATTATGGATTATTTGATTTTTTATTTCGAACTTTTAAATTTTATGTTCTAATATTAGAGTATGTAATTCGAAGTTTCGAACATTTAAATTAGTGTATATTTTTTTAAATTAATAATTTAAAAATGAAAAATAAAAAAACTGACCCGATTACCGAGTACCAGTAACATCCGGGTCGGGACACAGGCCGAGAGACCCGGAAGTTCCAGGTACCCAAAAATCGGGTACTCGGATTTGCACACTCCTAACTACTACTCCCTCCTTTTTTTTTCCTCTCCACCGCTTATTGCATGTGATTTTATGGGTTCATTTTTTGTGGATAATGATTAGAGTTGGGTATACGGGCTACCCGCCCGTTTAGCCCGTGGGTTTTGATAGTACGGGTTTAAACAGGGCGGTTTAAAAAACCCATAATCATAAACAGTCTTGAATTCTAAAACCCGCGGCCCGTACTATTTAATCCGCGGGCTAACGGGCTTACCCGCTACCCGTTAAATAACAACAATTTTAAATACTTTAAATGTAATAAAAAAATGATGTTCTAATTTATTACAACTTTAAAAATGATCCAACAACTTAAAAAGAAAGGTAGCAGCAAAAGTTTCAATAAGTCTCGAGATAAATAAGTAAATAAATTTTTGAAACACTTTTCCAGGAAACTTGTTCTGCAAATAAAGTGACATTTATATATGTAAAGCATGTATTCGTCGTAGTGATTATGTTCCTTGATGGCCAAGGGACTGGATCGGTCCCAATTCGATCGTCGCAGACAATTATCAAAATTAACCTTCAACATTTATTAAAATGGTCAAATTTTAACTGTCTCAACTTCAATAATAATGATAAATCTGTGGGAAGTTCTTATCTTGATAGATTATTATATGCAGATTCGGATTCTGGGTCTTCTTCAAGAACGTTTAACATTTGGGGTGGCACCATCACACCCTCTGGGGGGACCAATTGTTGGAACCACGAAGCTTCATATTCTTGGAAGTCCATCACACTTTCAACACTAACCCACAATTCTCAAACATCGACAATGACGTACAAATATTTTTCATAGGTTTCACATTTGAAAACGGGATCCAAGTCCAAACCACATGACAAAACTGAAACTGCTGGACCAACTTTTTCTCTTTTCCAACTTTACTGCTTGGATGCAAACTGGTTAACCAAAGATAAAGCATTGCTGGTGACCTGAGCACCATAAAATAAATTGAAAAAAAATAATTAAATTAAACGGGGCTATTCATGGAGCCTGCAGATATACCCATTAAACCCATGGATTTAACGGTATGGATTAATAATCCCACAATTTAAACGAGATTTATTTTTTGAGGCCCGAACCTATTACGGGCCACAAGTAGCCCGCGGGCCTTAACTATATTCAGCTCTAATAATGATGAGATATCCTAGGTATAGTGGAGTAGGTTGGATTATTTTAATATTATGATAGTGGGTAGTGGTAAATAATAATTAATAATAATAATATTAATAATAATATTAATAATAATAATAATAATAATAATAATAATAATAATAATTAATAATATTTTTTAAACTCGAAGGTGTCTACATCTGTATATCAAAACACCATTAGAAGGACAATTAGATGAAGGTTGAAGTTTCATCAGATGACGTTTCCAGCAAGTTATTTCCATCAACTTCAGCACCTTTTTAATAATCAGGGTTGGTTCAACGATCTCAATGTTCATAGTTTTTCATTCGATTTCGTCGAAGACGTATCGAAAAAAATACAATGATCGCTGCACTTTTTCATAATCACCTTTCCATGCTTGTTCTTTCAACCATCCTTTTGATTCTTGCACCAGCCGAGGCTCAAGGAAATGTCACCGTAGGCCGGTCTCTCTATGCCGACGATAGAAACCTCACTTGGCGATCGGGTAATCGCGAATTCGGCTTCGGGTTTCATCCGATTCCTGGTAAAAAGGACAAGTTTCTTCTTGCAATCAGGTATGCTCAGATACCAGAAAGAACTATAGTCTGGTATGCTAATCGAGATAACCCAGAAACCGATCGAGGATCAGCGGTGGAGTTCATCGAGAGCGGTTATCTTGTTCTTAGGGACCCTAAGGGCCGCGAGTTGTGGAGGTCTCGAAGCGTGACCGACGGTTCTCATGTTTCGCATGCAGCCATGCTCGACACCGGGAACTTTGTGATTGTAAGCAGGAACTCGACCAACATATGGGAAAGCTTCAAAGATCCAACTGATACCATCTTACCAAATCAAGAATTGGATGTCGGTGGCAGCCTTTCATCGATATCAGCTGAAAGAAATTACAGTAAGGGGAAATATCAACTTCGTTTCGATGGTGGATCTCTTGCGCTTAATCAAATAGATATGTTCACCGGAAAACCATATGAAGGTTACAGTAATCTTGGGACCGGTTCTCATCTCGTCTTCAACGAGTCGGGGAGTATCCATATCGGGAATTCAAACGGTAGTCTAGTCGCCCTAGCACAAATACAAAGCCCGGAGTTATACTACTACAGGGCAACGCTTGACTTTTATGGAGTTTTCACTCTCTATTCTTACCAAAAGACCCCCGGTGGTGGCGAAAGCTGGTCCGTGTTCAAGGCTTGGCCAACGGACATATGCAGTACATTTCTCGACTCGGCAAGTCAACTAGGAATCAGATTCGGAATCGGTCCTTGCGGTTATAACAGCATTTGCGAACCGAACGAATGGAGGCCTAATTGTACATGTCCCGCTGGATTTTCTTTCTTGGATGAGAAGAATCAATATGGAGGCTGCAAACAAGATTATCCAAACAATCCTGAAGATTGCAGCCCTGATGGATCCACCATCGGGGAAGATCGGTTCGAATTCAAGTCGATTTCATTCACTAATTTTCCGTTCAGTGACTACGGAATATTTGTTCCTGCAACCGAGTTGGAATGCAAGCAATCTTGCCTACGTGACTGTTCTTGTGCAGTTGCCATTTTTCCAACTTCAAAAAAAGACGGCAATGCAACTTGTTTTAAAAAGCAATTACCACTTTTTAATGGGGTGAGGAACAGAGGTACACTTGATAGTACAGTTCTAGTTAAGGTACTTAAGCCGGATGCATCGAGGAAGAAACCCGAAACACCGAATCAAAGCAACGATAATCGAGATCGACTCGTTTTAATCCTCGGGGTTCTCTTAGGCACCTCTGCAGTTTTCAACTTCTTTTCTTTAGCTGCTATTGCTCTGATCTTCTTCTGCTTGTTCCGAAAAAGACTTCAATACTTGAACGGTCTTCCTAGCAGGAGAGATTTAGAGACTAATCGGCAGTTTTTCACATACAAAGATCTCGAACACGCCACGAACTGGTTCAAAGAAGAGATCGGACGGGGTGCTTTCGGCACAGTTTATAAAGGAGAATCACCGTCGAGCTACGGAGATCTCGTTGCAGTCAAGAAACTAGACAAGTTTGCACAGGATGGCGAAAGGGAATTCAAAACCGAAGTGAAGGTCATTGGGCAAACTCACCACAAGAACTTGGTGAGACTGATCGGATATTGTGATGAAGCTGAGCATAGACTTCTGGTGTACGAATTCATGGAAAACGGTTTGTTGTCGAGCTTCCTTTTCGGATTCATAAGGCCTAGTTGGCAACAAAGGCTGCAGATTGCATCAGGGATTGCAAAAGGGCCTCACGTACTTGCATGAAGAATGCAGCAAACAGATCATCCATTGTGACATAAAGCCTAAAAACATACTACTGGATGAGTCGTTCACCGCCAAAATATCTGATTTCGGGTTGGCAAAGCTTCTGATGAACAACAAAACCCAAACACAGACTGGCATACGAGGGACAAAAGGCTATGTGGCACCTGAATGGTTCAGAAACACACCGGTTTCGGTCAAGGTCGATGTTTACAGCTTCGGGGTGATGTTGTTGGAGATCATATGCTGCAGAAGATGCGTCGAAGTCGAAATGGAGGAAGCAGCGATATTAACAGAATGGGCCTTCCAATGTTACAGCGAAGGGATGATCGGAAAACTGGTCGAAAATGATGAAGAAGCTATAAATGATGTTGGGAAAGTGGAGATGTTGTTGAAAGTGGCGATCTGGTGTGTTCAAGAGGAGCCAATGTTAAGGCCTTCCATGAGGATTGTGACCATGATGCTTGAAGGTGCTGTCCAAGTTCCTAGTCCACCATGCCCTTTCCTACTCAGTTCGATGTCGATGTTAGTGTCGACAACAATGATTTAGTCTCGATGTTGTTATGATCGGATCGAATATAGAGAATCAATTGAATCTCTGTTTCCTAGTTCAATCAAGTATTATATATAGACTTGGCATGCATTCTTATCATGTTTGTATATTTTCATGTGTAATAAAAAATAAAGAACTTTGAGATAGAGTGATTAAAGTGCATGAATTTGTTGGCTGCTGGTGTTTTCTTGAGCTTAGGAATTCTGATAGGGAAAATAAAGTGCTTGTCAGGTCCCTCTATTATAGGAACTGGATCAAATTAGTCCTATTATCGGGATTGGTTTAAGTTATTTCATTTAACAATAGGACTGTTTTGATGCAGTCCAAATAATAGAAGGACCTGCAAAAACTCTCCCCTAATATTTCATTTGACTTACTTGCAACATTTTCTCTTTCAACCAAAGAACAGTCTACAACTATAGAATTCGTTTAAAATAGATTCATTTGAAGATTTCAAAGGAAGGTCCAATTCAAAGTTGAAAATGTCAATGTTAGGTAAATTTCGAGGTGGGATCATTTTTAATTTTCAAAGTGGGTCCAAACTCACTTACCAGATCTTCAACAATTTCCTCTACTCATCACACATCTGTAAACCCAGATTTGACAATAATGCAACAATCTAGACAGTGACCGGCGTTGCCTTCTCTTAATTCTTGTGTTCCAATATTTCTTGATTTCATTGTCAGTTCTCTCCGGAAGCTGTATTTTATCATTGGAAAATATATAGATTTCATACTCACAGTCACATCAAATTATTCTTCCTACATTTGTACTAGTAATAATAAATAATTTATCTCTAAATATCAAAATAAAATCATAATTTTTAAGAAAAAAAACTCGAAATCGAACCTAAACCTAAAAAGATTTGATCCATTTAGAGAAAAAATCTAAGTTAATTACCTGAGTAGCCATCCGAGCCCACTTGTTTCCTATCTTAGGATGCAACTCAATAATCATCCTTTTTTCTTGTGGAGAAAAATGTCCTTTCTTCAAGTTAGGTCTTAAATGATTAGCCCACCTAAGCCTACAATTCTTCCCACATCGGGCCAGCCCGGTGTTCTTTTGCACCGAATTCCAGTTCCCTTCGCCGTTAGCCCTCACGTAGTCCGTCAACAACGCATCCTCCACCGTCGTCCACGAGCCCTTTTTCAACACCGTTCCATCTTCTCTCACTCCGTTGTTGCCGCCCTCGCTTTGAGCATTCATTTGGTTGCTTCCTTTCATCATCATCATCTTCTCCCTAGGTTGATGATGCTAAGGTTTAATGGATTCTGAGAACTGTAGTTGTTGCGACTGTTGCCGTTATACAATCGTAGATGTAAAGGATTCTAATTGTCGATGATTACGATGAATTTGACGGCAGAGAGAATCGAAATCGAAACAAAAAAATAAATATAAAAAATGTCTTATAACGGATATTGATTAAATTCTTTTGGTTTTATTCTCTTTTTTAGGGTAAAAATACATATAAAAATTAATATATTGAAAAATCACACTATCAAGTGACATGGATTTCTTTATGGCGAGCCCTTTGTAGACTTGATAATGTACTCTGTTTGGGTTTTCGATAAGTCCTTTGTAGACTCTTCCGAAGCCGCCTTCGCCGATTTGATTACGAGGGTCGAAGTTGTTCGTGGCGGCGCACATGTCACGGTATCTGAAAACCTTGGCACCTGCATTGTGTCTGCAATGTTTTGCAATTTCTTGGCTGGTGCATCTCTTTCTGCTGTTATCTGCCAAAGATAAAATATTCGTGTTCGATTCGAAACATATTTTGATATAATAAGAGGCCTAAACAAGGTGACCAGGGATATGGTGATGCATAGTCTCGAAACATGTGACGGCACACATAACATTCGTTACATCTGCAGTCACGACTCGATCGCAATTTCGATTTTAAAACGTCTTACCGGGGGAAAATGAAATATTGGCGAAGGAGGCCAAGACTTTCGTGTCATGATGTTCCATGATGCTCTTCTTCAATGCCCTCCTCGTTAGGGCCTCCACCGACATGCAACACGAAAACATCATCCTTGTCTTCATCTTCCTCGCGAAGGACGACATCGTGAAGTATCGAACCGAATTCTCACGGAGGCAACCGAATTCGCTTTGGTCCCTCGGGAAAGCACGAGAAACAATGGGTCATGATGTTTTGTTTCTCTTCATCTTTGTCTGAACTCCATTGAATCAGATAGCCAAAAATAACTTGAGAATCACGTTTGCTAAACATAGAAACCAAGATATTTTTTTCACATTTGTTGACTATTGGCATATGTTTAACAACTAAATTATAAATAGCATATGTTTGAAATTTATTAAAATGCCTTGTACATTTATTCTAAGATATGGTTGAAATTTAAGTTATAATAACTTAAGGGTTTGATTTTGGTACGTTTTTTGCATATCTCTATGGCCATGTTGGTGTTCGCACAAAGATACTCACGACATTTGTTTTTCTGATTGGTTTGTCGGTGGTCGCGTATTGTCAAATCCCCTCTTTAGTGAAAGGTTGTTTGCCGATATAATCATAATTATGTAGCAAAGTAGTTTGCCAAATTGTTTGGTTCGCTCACCACTCTTTTATCACTTCATAAAGAGTCTCGTTCGACAGAGAAGGAGTTTTGTGAAGGTTACTAGATTTTTTTGATGTTGGACGTCATTCTCAATGGAGGTTTCGCTTTTCTTTGTATCTTTGAGTTTAGTTTTTAGTGATTATTATCTTCAGTTTTCTCTTTGATTGTATTGTAATTTAATTCCTTCCATTGTTTTTATTAATGAAATTCAGTTACCGTTCGAAAAAAAAGTTATAATAACTTAATATCCGAAATAATCAATTTCAAAATCACTTTTATCATGCAGGGACTATTTTGTAAAACTAAAAAGTTTTGAGAGTGACATTTCTTAGAAGTTAAAGATTGACTGACCTCGTAAAGCTTGAGAGGAAGTAGGTTTGGGTTTGTTCGTTTTTCCAGTTTGGAGGACGCGAGGGAGGCTATTTTCGGCACTGATAGATCTAGAATTCAAGGTAATAAAATTCGAGTTTTCATGGCGAGATTTCTACCTCGTAAAGCTTTCTGGAGAAAGAAGTCTTCGGGTCCAAAACTGGCTGAGGCCAATTAGGCTCCCATTGTCGGTGTTGAGGACGAGGATAAGCGAGTTACTCTTAAAGATAGCTTGGCAGGTTGGTGCAAAACATTTATGAAAATGAAAGAGTTAGCTGCTGCTACGCACGAGGTAGGAATATCATGACCGAAAATTATGAGACTAAGTGGATTAGCAACTTTAATCATTTTTGACGATGAAGAGAGTAGGGATTTTACTCTTTCTAACCAAGCTAGAGCATTGCAAAAAAATTTTGACAAAGTGGAAGTGTGGTAGGAGAATTTTCAGTGTAGTAGCCGTCGAGCATGGTTATCGTGCAAGGGAATTCCTTCGTTTGTGTGGACTCATTCCACTTTCAGAAATATTGCAAAGAAATGGGGAGAACTTATCTCTATTAACGAAGGAACATTAAATCCCAGCTCGTTTGATAGGGCTCTGATTCAGGCTCGAGTGGAAGAATCTTTTGAATTGGTAGTTGGGGAAAGGATTTTTTTCAGTATTTGTTTCTGAGTTTGAACCTTGCTTTGGCCCTATTTCTATTTGGGAGGATGAGTCTGTGACGGACTTGGTTGAGGGCTCTCCGTTATTAGCTTTAGAGGAGATTGTTGATGCTTCGTCGTTAAAGTCTTCCGAGAAGGAGGTTAATGCTGGGAAGTACTCAATCTTTTTTTGATTCCTCACATATGGAGACTGGTCAGGAAGAGTTTCGAGATTGCCTAGAGGGTTCGATTGTTGGTGGTGGTTCGTGTTGTCTAGCTGCTGAGAAAGCAGGTGAAGGTTCTCTCTTAGTAGAGTTATGGGCGCATGATTTGGTTCCCAAGTCAGTCCGTTATGGGGTTAATGCCCATGCTTTTCGTTGCCAGAGAAGTGATTCCTGTAATGCTTTGGAGGCTACGAGTAAGGCGCACGTGGGCACTAAGGGGGATTTGTGTTCTACTCAAGAAGACAATGTGAATATTGTGAGTTTTGTGCCCACTAATGGGCTCTCAAAAAGGGCAGTATAGATAGTATGGGAATTTATAATTCCTAGACAAAGCATAATGGGGTTGCGGCGCACGTTTGTTGTTGCAAATGGTGTGGCTATTTTGTTGCTATGGAGACTTCTCATAGGGCGTACGTGGCTTCCAATTTTGCTTTGTGTGCGGCTTTAGATGGAAATGGTTCGGAATTGTCGACTGAGCCGTTGAATGTGTTGCCTATCGTGACCATGGGTGATGGGCGCTCAAGTTCTAATGGTGATGCAGAACTTCGGCAGGCCACGTCAACTACTAATAGTCAAAGGCCCTTGGAATGTTTGAATTCTCCTGTTTTGGGTATTTCGGGCCATTCTAGGGGAAAAAATGTTGTCCAATAGGATTAAAAGAAAGGAGAAGAAATTTGGTTCGCTTTTGGATATTCAGGACAAAGTCCTTTCGAAAGAAGAGAAAAAAAAAAGAGATCAAACGTTGAAGAGATTCAATTTGCTGAAATCTGACCTCAATTCCTCTGAACTATCTGGTAGTTCGCTATCAGATTCGGATTTGAAGAGAAGGTGGGCTGTTTTTGTCGATAAGGAGTTTCAATGCCATTGAGTTAGAGATTTGGTAGTAATTTCGTTGTTGATCCCCAGTCACTTGAATTGTTTTGAGGTTGGTACGTGATTGCCACTGTTTGAGTGAAGCATAGGGTTGTGTTTCCTGAGGTTATTCGCTGAATTTAGGATCATTGGTTCCTAAAGAAATGTTTATGTTGTATATTGCATGTTGGGTTAAAGATCGATAAAGTCATGGTGTAATGCAGTGATTAGGAGACTTAGTGTTTCTTGTTTTCGGTCAGCCCCTATGCTGTAGTGCTCGTCTGATCTTTGCTTTTGCTGTCCTTTCTATTCTCTTTTCTTTTTGCTGTATGGTTTGTTTGGAAGTTTGAGTGAGTTTTGTTATGGTTTGGGGTTTGGTTTATGTGGTGCATTGTGGTATCCTTGTACTAGTTTATTTCCACCTCTTGGTATATTCTTTTTCCTCCAGTTAGAACTATGGAGGTTTTTTAATAAGGTCCATGAGGTGGTGTAGTTTACATTTATAATACAAAGTATCCTATTTAAAAAAAAAAAGATTGACTGACCTACACCTACAATCATGGTTAGCCATCAAATCATATTTATTTCACAACGCATGCAAATTGGGAAATGATCAGGGGGCAGCCGACTAAAAAAAGTAATATCGGTTTTGTTATTATTTATTTAATAAAACCGGTAAAATATTATTGGAAACATTACTATTTTTACCGATTTTGTTATTATTGGGCGTTTTATCGGTTTTATTAACAAATCTGGTAAAGTGCTACTGGTTTTGTTATTTTTTCTACTATTTTGTTATTATTGGACACTTTACCGGAGTTGTTAAAAAATATTAATGTTTTAGGTAGAAATAATAATGTTTTAGGTAATTTTTTATCGGTTTTGTTAAAAAAATAATAACAAAACTAGTAGTATATTTCTTTAATTGTATATTAAAGGTTCTGCACTGTAGAACTTCCCATGCAAACTATACTTTTCCATTTCATTTTTATTCAAAATCAAACCATGCTGTCATGCATACTTAACTATACATATATGTAGCGGCCAACTCAGTTGGTAGAGCACAAGGCTCTTAACCTTGTGGTCGTGGGATCGAGTCTCACGGAGGGCATTTCATAATTCGAAGGTCTCCCACGGAAGCTGCTCTCAACCTGACGTTGGGGGCAGCCTACTATCCTACCTCCCCCTTACCCCAATACATATGGGAATAAGAGTCAACTAATTTTTTTAGCGGTGAATCCAGAAAAAAGGTATAATTTAGGTCAATATAAATATAATAAAAATTTTATCCAAAAAAATTATATATATGGATTAAATCTAGAAAAATATATTAATTGGACCAATATAATTTTCTTAACATAATTCATATATATATTTTTATTGAGGGTAAACTAATTATATGGTCATCCACCTATTACTTAATTTATGTTTTGTTCACTCAGTCAAAATCATAGTTAGCCTTACAATTTGATTCTATTTTGATCATCTATCACCGCTCATTTCTTAAAAATGAGAGGTCAGAACATAATCAAATTGTAACATTAAGTCTTATTTAAAATAAATAATAATTGAATGATCAAAACAGAAACTAAATAATAAATAGGTGACTTGATGAGTAATTTACCCGGCCATGGCTTAGGCAGGCCTAATATGATAATGATCTAGGATCCGACAAAATTTATATAAATATCGAATATTATATATTTTTTAATTTTTTTAATTTTTTAAAAAAATTATAAATTTTATTCTCTATCACAAAATCTCACGTTAGTTCTTATATCCACACACGCACGCATACATGACGGATGCATATGCCCCAACTATATATTATATAATACCATAGTTTATGAACCATATACTTTTTATTATTTTTAGGGTTAATTATAAAATAAGTATTCAAGTTATAACATTTTTCATGAATAAGTGCTTAAATTATTTTTTAAATGATCATGGTGTCTAACATTACAAACGTTACCACTTTAAGTATTCGGGTCGTGAACGACGTTAATTTCCTCTGTTTAGTGACACATGTTACATTGTAATAATTTTGACATTTATTTTTTAATAATTATATTGAAAATATTATTATATTCATATAAAAAAACTCTAATTTCTTTTAAATTATAAAAGAAGCCCCCAAATCCTAACCCTAACCCACTCCGTCGCCCTTTCCGGCCACGACCGTCGACGTAATCCCTTTCATCCTCCTAGTCATACATCGCTGTAGTTGTCGTCGATTGGCCGTCAGAATCGCCTGGGATAGCGATTTTCGTCGTTGGGTTTGCGGGGTATAAAATGTCGATTCATCGTTGATCGATCATGGTTTCATAAGGGTTTTGGTCGTCGGGAGGATGTGAGGTCAGTTGGAGCTTCGTCGACGATAAAGAGCGGTGGTCGGCGGTCGGCGAGGGTTTAGGAGTTGAAATGAATATCTTTAAAGTTTTTGGTTTATTTCGAAATTTCTATGTTTTTTAAAATATATAAATTTAATTTTTTTAATTTTAAATAAAATATTTAAAATTAACATATTGTAACACATATCACCTAACGATAGAAATTAACTTCGTTGATGGTTCATCTCATAATACTTATGATTTAAACCTCTCTAAAAAATATCATTCTTCAATCTCGTGATACTTTCGTCACGATTAGGGAAGGGCATTGGACTCGAACCCAAACGGTACACAAACCTAACTCGATCGGGTCGAGTTTTTTTTAATTTTGGGGCCTTGTCTGGTTTTTTAAAGGTGATGTTCGGGTCGGGTCGGGTCTGATTCGGATTTAGGGTGAAAAATATCTGACCCGACCCGAAAAAATATAATTTTACCTTATATATTTAGGAATAATTATAATAATATCCCTCTATATATTATTATTTTTTCAATTAAATCGTTGTTTTTATTGAATAAAAATAATATTTTTATTATTATTTCGGATCGGGTTGGATCAGGTTCTGATTTTATCTCAAAAAATCAGGTCTGGTTCGGGTCGGGGGTGGTATATATTTTTGGGTCGAGTCGGGTCAGGTGAATTTTGTAAAATTTTTGGGTCGAGTTAGGTTGCCGAAACCCGACCCATACCCATCCTTATCACAATCCATCTTTACAGTTTATCTCATTCATTAGGACACTCACACGAAGTTAGGAGAGTGAGCAAGTCGTTCTAATATCACTAATTATAAGTATGGTTTTCAGAACCGGTCCGGTTAGCGAACCGGTCATGCTATCGGTTTACTGGTTCAACCGGTCGAACGGTCGGAAGAACCAGACGACGTCATAATTATTTAAAAAAATTAAATAAAAATACCAAAAATATTAAATAAAAAATAATTTTTTTATATCACAAGTCATATTCAAAGCAAGTCATAACATATATAAGTTAAAAACCATAAAATCAAGTGAAAAAAATGATTCAAATTAACTACAACATAATATTTAAGGAAAAACATATTAAATAATAAATATAATTATATAAATATAATTAAAAAATAAATTTAAGACTAAAAAATCATATAAAATGATATTTGTTTAGTTTAATTTTTTTTTTAAAAACAATCCCACATGGCTAAGAAACATAGAAGAGCATCCCAAAAGTTTAAAGAGTAAAAATATGAGAACAAAACAATCCCACATGGCTAAGAAACATAGAAGCGCATCACAACTAACTTCTATAAATAATAGAGGTAATTTGACATTCAAAATCATAGAGCCTTTTGGTGAGCATTGAGTGAACTATTCTTTCACTTCAATCAAGCTCGAATTTTAGGCTTCAATCGAGCTTCTAAATTTTTTTGAGTTCAAGCCTTTTTGAGTTCAAGTTTCAATATTATATTTTGAGTTTGAGTTGAACTTTATAATTTTTAGCTCGTGATTTTGAGTCGAGTTGAGCTTACTTTTAAAGTTTTCAAGTTCTAGTCGAGCTCAGCAATACTCGAGTTCGACTTGGCTCGTTTAACAAACGACGTCGTTTGGTTTAATTTTTTTTTAAAAAAACAAAATTTCTGGTTTTTTCTGGTTTTCAACCAGTCCGGTTCGACCGGTTCACTAGTAGCGGTTCACTAGTAGCGGTTCAACCGGTATAGATTGAATTGGATTAGGCAACGGTTCCCGGTTGAACCGGTTGAATCGGCCGGTCCGGTCCGGTTTTCAAAACAATGATTATAAGATCATTATTCTCTTCCTAAAAGATATGTGTAATAGACATGTAAAAACATGAGCCGGCTCAATATTTCTGTTCTTCTGAATTATTAGCCGAATAAATTTCTTCTGAACTGTTCATCGAACACTCTGCTGTTTATTTTCTTCTTCTGATTAAATCTTACTGCAACAATTCAAAGTTGAAAATGTCAATGTCAGGTTATCTGCTCCTCCGAAATTCCAAACCATTGGCTGTAGTTATCTTTTTTGTTTGTACAACCATTGGCTGTAATTATCAAAACACCATTAGAAGGACAATTAGATGAACGTTGAAGTTTCATCGGGTGACTTTTCCAGCAAGTTACTTCCAACAACTTCAGCACCTTTTTAATAATCAGGGTTGGTTCAATGATCTCAATGTTCATAGTTTTTTATTCGATTTCGTCGAAGACGTATCGGAAAAAATACAATGATCGCTGCACTTTTTCATAATCACCTTTCCAAGCTTGTTCTTTCAACCATCCTTTTGATTCTTGCACCAGCCGAGGCTCAAGGAAATGTCACCGTAGGCCGGTCTCTCTATGCCGACGATAGAAACCTCACTTGGCGATCGCGTAATCACGAATTCGGCTTCGGGTTTCATCCGATTCCTGGTAAAAAGGACAAGTTTCTTCTTGCAATCGGGTATGCTCAGATACCAGAAAGAACTATAGTCTGGTATGCTAATCGAGATAACCCAGAAACCGATCGAGGATCAACGGTGGAGTTCATCGAGAGCGGTTATCTTGTTCTTAGGGACCCTAAGGGCCGCGAGTTGTGGAGGTCTCGAAGCGTGACCGATGGTTCTAATGTGTCGCATGCAGCCATGCTCGACACCGGGAACTTTGTGATTGTAAGCAGGAACTCGACCAACATATGGGAAAGCTTCAAAGATCCAACTGATACCATCTTACCGAATCAAGAATTGGATGTCGGTGGCAGCCTTTCATCGTTATCAGCTGAAACAAATTACAGTAAGGGGAAATATCAACTTCGTTTCGATGGTGGATCTCTTGTGCTTAATCAAATAGATATGTTCACCGGAAAACCATACGAAGGTTACAGTAATCTTGGGACCGGTTCTCATCTCGTCTTCAACGAGTCGGGGAGTATCCATATCGGGAATTCAAACGGTAGTCTAGTCGCCCTTGCACAAACACAAAGGCCGGAGTTAAACTACTACAGGGCAACACTTGACTTTTATGGAGTTTTCACTCTCTATTCTTATCCGAAGACCCCAGGTGGTGGCGAAAGCTGGTCCGTGTTCAAGGCTTGGCCAACGGACTTATGCAGTACATTTCTCGACTTGGCAAATCAACGAGGAAACAGATTCGGAATCGGTCCTTGCGGTTATAACAGCATTTGCGAACCGAACGAATGGAGGCCTAATTGTACATGTCCCGCTGGATTTTCTTTCTTGGATGAGAAGAATAAATATGGAGGCTGCAAACAAGATTATCCAAACAATCCTGAAGATTGCAGCCCTGATGGATCCACCATCGGGGAAGATCGGTTCGAATTCAAGTCGATTTCATTCACTAATTTTCCGTTCAGTGACTACGGAATATTTGTTCCTGCAACCGAGTTGGAATGCAAGCAATCTTGCCTACGTGACTGTTCTTGTGCAGTTGCCATTTTTCCAACTTCAAGAAAAGATGGCAATGCAACTTGTTTTAAAAAGCAATTACCACTTTTTAATGGGGTGAGGAACAGAGGTACAGTTGATAGTACAGTTCTAGTTAAGGTACTTAAGCCGGATGCTTCGAGGAAGAAACCCGAAACACCGAATCAAAGCAACGATAATCGAGATCGACTCGTTTTGATCCTCGGGGTTCTCTTAGGCACCTCTGCAGTTTTCAACTTCTTTTCTTTAGCTGCTATTGCTCTGATCTTCTTCTGTTTGTTCCGAAAAAGACTTCAAGACTTGCACGGTCTTCCTAGCAGGAGAGATTTAGAGACTAATCTGCAGTTTTTCACATACAAAGATCTCGAACACGCTACGAACGGGTTCAACGAAGAGATAGGACGGGGTGCTTTCGGCACGGTTTATAAAGGAGAATCACCATCGAGCTACGGAGATCTCGTTGCAGTCAAGAAACTAGACAAGTTTGCACAGGATGGCGAAAGGGAATTCAAAACCGAAGTGAAGGTCATTGGCCAAACTCACCACAAGAACTTGGTGAGACTGATCGGATATTGTGATGAAGCAGAGCATAGACTTCTGGTGTACGAATTCATGGAAAACGGTTCGTTGTCGAGCTTCCTTTTCGGAGTCCTAAGGCCTAGTTGGCAACAAAGGCTGCAGATTGCATCAGGGATTGCAAAGGGCCTCACATACTTGCATGAAGAATGCAGCAAACAGATCATCCATTGTGACATAAAGCCTCAAAACATACTACTGGATGAGTCGTTCACCGCCAAAATATCTGATTTCGGGTTGGCAAAGCTTCTGATGAACAACAAAACCCAAACACAGACTGGCATACGAGGGACAAAAGGCTATGTAGCACCTGAATGGTTCAGAAACACACCGGTTTCGGTCAAGGTCGATGTTTACAGCTTCGGGGTGATGTTGTTGGAGATCATATGCTGCAGAAGATGCGTCGAAGTCGAAATGGAGGAAGCAGCGATATTAACAGAATGGGCCTTCCAATGTTACAGCGAAGGGATGATCAGAAAACTGGTCGAAAATGATGAAGAAGCTATAAATGATGTCGGGAAAGTGGAGATGTTGTTGAAAGTGGCGATCTGGTGTGTTCAAGAGGAGCCAATGTTAAGGCCTTCCATGAGGATTGTGACCATGATGCTTGAAGGTGCTGTCCAAGTTCCTAGTCCACCATGCCCTTTCCTACTCAGTTCGATGTCGATGTTAGTGTCGAAAACGATGATTTAGTCTCGATGTTGTTATGATCGGATCGAATATAGAACCGATTGAATCTCTGTTTCCTAGTTCAATCAAGTATTTTACATAGACTTGGCATGCATTCTGATCATGTTTGTATATTTTCATGTGTAATGAAAAATAAAGAACTTTGAGATAGAGAGTGATTAAAGTGCATGAATTTGTTGGCTGCTGGTGTTTTGTTGAGCTTAGGAATTCTGATATGGAAAATAAAGTGCTTGTCAGGTCCCTCTATTATAGGAACGGGATCAAATTAGTCCTATTATCGGGATTGGTTTATGTTAATTCATTTAACAATAGGACTGTTTTGATGCAGTCCAAATAATAGAAGGACCTGACAAATATTTTCTCCCTTAACATTTCATTTCACTTATTTGCAACATTTTCTCTTTCAACCAAAGAACAGTCTGCAACTACAGAATTCGTTTAAAATAGACTCATTTGAAGATTTCAAAGGATTGTCCAATTCAAAGTTGAAAATGTCAATGTCAGGTAAATTTCGAGGTGGGATCATTTTTAATTTTCAAAGTGGGTCCAAACTCACTGACCAGATCTTCAACAATTTCCTCTACTCATCAAACACTCATTTTCGTCCGGGACATTAAGAGTTTTTATTACAGTATTTATATTATTATATAATATATATAAAATAATTTTAAAATTGTATATAATATATGGTTTTTGAAAATATATAATTTTTGAAAATATATTTTATAGTTTTAAAAACATATAATATATATGAATTTTGAAAATAGTTTTTAAAAAACATATATAGTATATATAATTTTTGAAAATATAATATATGTTATATAGTTTTTAAAATAAATATATTATACGTATTATTATTATTATTATTATTATCCTTCTTTTTATTTACTCTTTATTTTTTATTATATTTAGATTCAGTCCCAATCCAAAAGCAAGGGTCACGGTCCAATAAAGTGAAGCCCAACCGAAAAGCAATCATGACCCAGCAAGCTCGGTGGAAGCCCAGTAGGACCCAAGCCCGTCTGCATGACCGAGCAGGGGCTAGGGTTACACACTTTAGTAAAGGCGCAGCAAGCCTGGCGGCTGGCCAACGCATAACGGTAGGCGAAGCAAATCACAGCAAATATGTCCCGTGATTTTCGGCTAACAATGAGAAGTAAAAAACCGAAGCGAAATCGGAGTGGAATCAAAACAACAACCTCCTCAAGCCCAAATAAATCAGAAAACGGGGGAAAATGACCCCCGAGATTATCAGAAACAGCCAAGAAGACTATATAAATACCATGGCGAGAAGCCAACAGAACACACAGAAAAACCCAAGCAGTATACCAAGAAAATCAACAGAGAAACCAAGCAAGACAATGAGAAACACTACACAGTAAAGCAAAAAAATCCAGCAAAAAAACATTTGAAAATAGCAACGAAAATCACGAAAAAATATCAAAGCTAGCATCGGATTTTTTGCTCGAATGAAAGTCATCGTCGGAACTCGAAGCGTTATCGTTAGAAAAAGTAAAGGCCTAAACTTTTAGCGTAAATCTACGCCAATCGGGGAGTTTTTCGGGATATTTTGAGGTTTGATTTGGTTTCGGGGAGTTGAGAGGAAGATTCGGTGGGTAGTTTTGAGTTTTCTGGCCACCAATGATTGGGGAGGCGGTCGGTGAGGATTGAATGGTCGGGGATAGGCTCAGTTTGGGAGAGAGTTGAGAGAAAATGAGAGGGCTTAGTTTTGGGAGCTTGTCACAAATGAAGGAAATATGACAACTTTGGGGTATTTATAGGGGGACTGCTTTGCAATTAGAAGAAAGTTAAATTCATTCTGCAGTCCCCCATATTTTGATGCGTAATTTGTTTTAGTCACCTTTTGTAATTTGCCCCTTTAATTTTGATTTTAATTCAACTTGATGCTCATTTTTTTACTTTATTTGTTTATATTTAATTGACATATTAACATTTTTTTTATTTTGCAGTATTTGATTACTTTTTTATTTATTATTCTTGTACTAACTTTTTTATTTTTAAGGAATTTCTTAAAGTCTTAAAATTCATCAAAGGTAAATAATTTGATTCTAACTTTTAAATTTTAATTTAACTTTTAATTTTTATAATTAAGACAATCGGGAAATCAAATTGGTACCAAAAGGGTAGTGCAGACTGTAATTGACACCCGAATCCGACAAATTTCTGGTAAGTTGTAGATCAGACAACGATAAGTTATGGTATCCGATCAACCAAATTAAAATGATCGGTGGCGACTCCATCACACACCAAATTAAGTCGGAACCCGATTCTAGGACCATTCGAAGGACGGTTATGACACCCAGATTTGACAATAATGCAACAATCTAGACATTGTGCCGTATCAAAATTCTCAGCATTATAAAGCAGCAACAGCTAACAAATTCATCTTCAGTCCATTTTAATCACTCTCTAATCTCAAACTTCATTGTTTTTCTTCATTTTGTTGAACAGATTCAATGATCGATCTCAGCACATTTTCGTACTCAAATTGTTCTTATTACCAGCTTCCTTTGGATTCTCGCAACTGTTGGGGCTCAAAAAAATGTAAGTGTAGGCGATTCTCTATCTGCAAATGACAAATCCATGGCTTGGCAATCACCATCTGGTGATTTTACCTTTGGATTTCTTCTCATTCCTGGTGAAAAAGAAAAGTTTTTGCTTGAAATATGGTATGCTAAGATCCCACTGAGAACTATAGTTTGGTTTGCTAATCGAGATAGCCCCGACACCGATCGAGAATCGAAGGTCGAGCTCGTTGCGAGATGTCATCTTGTACGGACCCAGCAGGTAAAGAGTTGTGGTGGTCTCGAAGCGGTACCAGTGACCTCGAGTGTCGTATGCAGCCCTGCTCGACACAGGGAACTTTGTGATCGTAAACGGGAACTCAAACAACATATGGGAGAGCTTTGAATATCCGACTGGTACCATGTTACCGGGACAAGAACTTGGTGTCGATGGCTATCTTTTATCGACTTCGGATGAAACGAGTTACTGTTAAACTTGTAATATGAGTGAAATGAAAAATTATTTTTATTTTCATACGTATAAGTTTACAACCCGTACATATATATACACAACTATTCAATCTAACCACCTAACTAACTCATAACCGTTTCTAACTAATTAATAACTGAACAAAACTAATTACAAACTCAACACTCCCCCTCAAGTTGGATGTTGAAAAACATTTTCAACTCCTAACTTGGATAGCAAATAACTATGTTGTTGATTTCCCAAAGCCTTTGTCATGATGTCTGCAAGCTGTTCATGCGTGGAAACATGTTCTGTCTGAATTAAACCTTCTTGTATTTTTTTCTTTCACGAAATGACAGTCGATTTCAATACAATTTGTCCTTTCATGAAACACAGGGTTAGCAGCTATCTGAATTGCAGCTTTGTTATCACAGTAAAGTTTCACAGGTTTCAGGCCTTTTATACTAAACTCTACAAGTAAACCTTGCAGCCATACTAACTCAGAAGTAACCACTGCCATAGCTCTATATTCTGCTTCTGCTGAAGATCTTGCCACAACATTTTGCTTCTTTGATTTCCATGAAACCAGTGAGTCACCAATCTTGATACAGAAACCTGTCACAGACTTCCTTGAAATTGGGCATGATCCCCAATCTGAATCACAGTAGGCTGAAATTTGATGACCTAAAGAAGATTTTAACAAAACTCCATGTCCTGGTTTTTCCTTAACATACCTTACTACTCTTAACGATGCCTCCATGTGTGATCTCTTAGGTTGCTGCATAAATTGACTAAGAATGTTTACTGCATATGTAATGTCATGTCTAGTATATGTCAAGTAAATCAGCTTTCCAATAAGTCTTTGGTAAACTGATTTTTCAACCTGATTATGTTCATCTTCATTATTTTGCTGCACAACTCTATCATAATCCATAGTAGTCAACTTCAGATTCTACTCTAGAGGAGTAGCAGCAGACTTTGCTTTCTCCAAACCAGTATCCTTGATTAATTGGAGTGCATACTTCCTTTGATTCAAAAGTATACCTTCCTTTGACCTCAATACCTCTGTTAAACTATGTTTCGATATAACAATTTAAGGCAAAATGGTTTTTGGACTTGAATTGAATTTACAAAATGTTTTTGGACGTAATTGAATTTATTCAAAGTTTTTAAAAGGTTTCAAAAATAATTCAAAATCAATTAAAATTCGGATTTGAGCAAAAAATATTTTAAGGGGTTTCAAGATTGCCCAGGGGGTATAGATTCACCCCCAGGGGGTACAGATACCCTGGGTACAGATACCCCCCCCAGGGGGTACAGATACCCCCTGCAGGTTTTTGCCTCCGAGAAAAACAGAATGTCCAGGGGGTACCGATTCCCCCCCAGGGGGTACCGATTCCCCCCCTGTTCAACAGCCCAACGGTCATAATATTTGAATATTATGAAGGGGTATCGATTCCCTATGAAGGGGTACCGATTCCCTCTATTCTGGGCAACCTTTTTTGAGTATAAAAATCATCCCCAACGGCTATATACGACTTTAAACTCATTCCAAGCTATAAATACAAGCTGAGGACACTTGAAGAATTAAGAGAACAATTATCCAAGCAATCAAACACAAGAGAAGAGTTTTTCAATCTTATTTCATCTTTCTCTTGTAAATATTTTGTTCTTGAGAGCTCAATCTTGTAAACACCTACCTTAGAGAGGTTTTCTTGTTTACATTTCTTATCCTTTTGTAAAGGGGAAATGTTCTAGCTTAGCCCGTGTAAAAGCTAGGGAAATGTTCTAGTTTAGCCCAGAAAAACTAGGGAGTTGTAAGGTTATCTCTTTGTCCTCAAAAGAAAGAACAAATTAGTGAATTTGTTGGAAAATCCTTGGTGAGGAGCTAAGGTAGTGGATGTAGACTTTGGTTGATAAAGTCGAACCACTCTAAATCGCTGTGTAATTTTCTATCTTTCAATCTCCTTACTCCCTAAACACAAAACCATTCCGACCCCTCTTTGCAAACCGTTTCGGTTGTCGATTCGAGCTTCTGAAAATCCTAACAATTGGTATCAGAGCCTAACTCGTT